TTAATATTTCTTGCCAGCACGATTAGTGGAGTATTTTTTTCTTGGAACTTACAGGGTCACTTTCTCGAATCATACAGGTCACACTATCAGGATTTACAGGTCACACTATCAGGTCTCACAGGTCACACTAACAGGTCTCACAGGTCACACTATCAGGACTCGCAGGTCACACTATCAGGTCTCACAGGTCACACTATCAGGACTCGCAGGTCACACTATCAGGACTCGCAGGTCACACTATCAGGACTCGCAGGTCACACTATCAGGTCTCATAGGTCACACTATCAGGACTCACAGGTCACACTATCAGGTCTCACAGGTCACACTATCAGGTCTCACAGGTCACACAATCAGGTCTCACAAATCATATCATATCTGCATGACTTATACAGGTTTAATCGGAACAACAGTTATTTATTGACTAGATAGCTACTGTTTATTGTTTGGACAAGTACCATTTACTTTCTGGACAACTTTTACTCACTTTCTGGACAAATGGTAGTATTGTACGGATAAATATTCCTTATTGTCTGGATATCTTATGTTTATTTTGGGGAAGTATGGTGGTTGCTGCCTGTCTAGTTAACTATTATTCATTACCTGCAAAACTAATATTACCTAGACAACTGATGTGCTGTTAAATTAATTTTTCTTACCAGTGAAGTTAATATCTACTTTGCATTGTTGGGTAAATACCTGTTCAGTTAGTGTAGTATTTATTGGCTGAACAACTAGTGTGGTTTTTTTGTTTTGTTTTTTGCCTGGACAACTGATATTTACTGCCTTAATGGTTATTGATTGGGGAGATAAGTTTTTTGCCCGAGACTTAAATAGTTTTTGACGGAACTGTTACGATTTATTTCCTAGTCAACAAATGATTATTGCCAGGACCAATACTGTGTTTTGCTTATACATTTGAGAGATGTGTCCTAGGCAGAACTAATATACATTGGCTGGATAACTAATATTTACTGCCTGGATATCGAATGTTTATATCCTGTGCAAACAATTGCTAGCTAGACAACCTTGCCTGAGCACCTGATGTTTATTGCCTAGATAACTAATATTTATTACTCGGGGGACAACTAATGTTTACTGTTAGGGAAGATAATGTTTATTGCCCGGACAACAAAAGTTAGATGCCGAGGCGGAGAAGTGTTGTATGCTAACCTCGGTGTTATCAGGAGTCGGGGTCGTTTGCTCCTCGGTGTGACGTATCGGCCATTAGAGGCGTCATTATAGTTGCCACACTGGAGGCAATACGTTATATCCCGTCCTCCTACGTCTTCGTAATGTGGCCTTATCGGCTGTTTTTTCGTTCCGTTCTTGACTGACAAATGGCTACATCCGTCATCATCACAAACCCCTCCGGATTTTCTCATCTGCCACAGTCCTTGACATTAGTGTTTATAACTTGACAAACAATTCTTTTTTTTCCATACATTTATCTATAACACGCAGTAATAATACCGTTAAATGTTTGATTTCAATAGTATAATAAACGGAAGTGAAGAATGACCTAACTCTCTCACTGCGGCACTCCAGGAGAGGCTTGAAAGAAATTAAACAACAATGAGGATTAGTTATTACTTTTTTGACAATTTTAAGCACCACCGTACACTGGGGAAACATCCATCAGTCAGGTGAGGAACATATTTTTTTTCTAGTGACACAGCTCCTTCCATTGTCTATTCGTGGCGACTATTCTGCTATTACTACTACTTTAATAGTAATAGTAGTAATGAATAGATGTCGAAAGGAACTGGTAGTGTAGTTAAAATATCATTATTCAGTAGCTATAGTTTGGAGTCAATGAAATTCGCCCGTTTCATCACTCACGCCCTTTAGCGATTTCATGATGGTCAAGTTATCTGGGTCATCAAGCAAGAACCGCAAATATACCACAAAGCTAACCTTAATTATTCTGTCTTTATCATGGGGTATTTTCTCAAGAGTGTGTACAGTGTGTTGACTGGCCCAAAGGCCGAGAATATGGTTGTTGCAACTTTCTAAGATAGAGTGACCCAATTGTATGTTTCATTGCACTGGTTGATGATCTTGCTAGCCATTCCATTGTTGAAATTTCTCTCTCCTCCAGGAAGTCCATTGACGATTGAGGTGTGTGTGTGTGTGTGTGTGTGTGTGTGTGTGTGTGTGAATATTTCTTACCAATACTTCATGCAATCACGAGGAAGGTAGTACGTCGTCCAAACACATTCTAGACTTTACCATGATTAAGTCTCCCTGTAGTGGTCGGTTTAAATATATACATACCTCTCTCTCTCTCTCTCTCTCTCTCTCTCTCTCTCTCTCTCTCTCTCTCTCTCTCTCTCTCTCTCATCCACCAAGGTGACCCGGGTAACTCATCATAAATACTATATATATATATATATATATATATATATATATATATATATATATATTTAGATGTCTTATGTTCTTTCTCCTTGTTCTACTTAATGTTACTCCTCCTCCCTTTTATATGACATTATTCCCTATATTTTAGCATTTTCCTGTAGCATCAAGTTTAATAAACCACTATAGCCTTTATACTGTGTTGCTGAGTGGAGAGGCTTCTCTATATTTTTAAGATAATATTTCCCGTCATATCCCAAAATACCTTTGTGTATGGCTATAACCCTATGTAAAGGAAGCCAAATATTATCAGGCATCATATAAATTTTAGTTTTTGCCAAGAAAAATTTAATAACTCGGTAAAAACAACTGAAGCCTAGCCAAGAACAGACTAAGGGTGAGACCATGTCCAAGTAATGAGCTAAGTTAGGTTAAACTTAAGAGATTAAACAATAAAAAGTTAGATAGCACCATTTGAGGTTTTAAGGAAGCTGTATAAAAGAGGTTGGGACAATAATGCTACGTTAAATATAAACCGCATGACACCTCGAGACGGATGGTGTTGTTGGGGAATTGAGCGATTGTGCAATACAATATTAAATTTATTCCCAAAATATTTGTTTTCAGTATCGTCATAGGATGGACCTCAAGGGCAAGACATAGAACAGTAACATATTATGATTCAAGAAAATGGTAGACGAAAAGACTTAAAGAAGGAGGGAGTAGCTGGGATAAAACTGCTGGAATCACAAATTGTTAAAATGAATTGGGGAAGAAGGTTAACCAGGAAGTGAGACAAAAAAAAAAAAGCTGTAGTCGATTTTTTTTAAACAAAGGGAATGTAATGAGATAGAACATTATGATAAAAGAGTTTATAAACAAATATATGAAATAATCCACCATAAAGTACAAACATAGAGCTGGACTAAAGTTAATAAGATCCTACTTGGGAAAAAAAAAATCTAATACTTTTTATTTTTTTTGCTCTGTATCTTTCTCTCTCGCTTTGTAAAACAGAGGAACTGCAGACTTAATCTTTCTTTAGTATTATGCTGCTACTGTATTCCCCTTCCACTTGAAAACCACGATATATCCGTTATGCTTCATTCAACCTATCCTCACCCATCAGCAACCCATCCTCCTTATCATATTACATCCTCTTTTGACCGCAACCCATCCTCCGCAGCGCAATCCAACTTCCCCTCACCCGTCAGCAACCGATCCTCACCGTCAGCAACCCATCATCACCCATCAACCTTTATCCTCACCCAGCCTGCAACCCATCTCACTGACACCAATCAACTACTCACCCGCTCATAACCCATCTCCTGGCCGCAACCCATCTCACCCCGGCACCAATCCAGCTCACCCGTCAACAGCAAATCCTCACCGTCGCCCAATCCAACCTCACCCGTCAGCAACCGATCCTCACCCGTCAGCAACCCAACCTCACCCGTCAGCAACCCAGCTTCACCTGTCAGCAACCCATCCTCACCTGTCAGCAACCCATCCTCACCCGTCAGCAACCCATCCTCACCCATCAGCATTCCAACCTCACCCGTCAGCAACCCATCCTCACCCGTCAACAGCATAACCCTCCCCCTCTCTCTTAGTTCCTCCTTCTCCCTCTCCTTCCATTTCATTCATGGTCTACCCCACTCCACTCCACCAAGCAGTTCTCAGTTATTCTGTCATCAAAATTTCACACCTCTCGCCTTCCCTTAAGTTATTCATACCAGCTTAACATACCCTAATAGGTCTTTGTTCTGTTCCAATTTGCACATCTCATTCCTGTACAGCTTAATCTCTGCATGCATTCTATTCATTTCAAATATTACACTTACAGTATGAATACATTATTTCTGTCCCCTGTTACTTTTGTTTATACAGTCCAATGATTCTCTATTAAATTCTCTATTTTTTTTTAATATGGTTCTCTCATCACCTCATAATTTATTGTATGTTACATTATATCTATTCTTCTCTGTAAAGTCACTCCGTCTCTCGTTATTTCATTGACTAATACATTCACACCCATATATTCCTATCTGAAATATCTCACTTCATTCTATCTCCATTCAGACTAAAATTCATCCCTTCCAAAATTTCCCTTCTCTATTTATTATCATTATTGTACTTTTGTCAACATTTACTCACTCTAGATGTTTTCCTGGTACACAAACATTTCAGCTTTGTCACTAATGTTTATGACTACTCCTCAGGAATGTTCACCAGTGTTTTGTCATTTATAGATTGCAACTGACTTTTCTTCCTCTTGCAGCCTATATCACTGTTAACCCTTTGAGGATGATCTTTTAACCCATTAATGATGATGTTTTAACCCCTTGAGGACGATGTTTTAAACCCTATAAGAACGATGTTTTAACCCTTTGAGGATGGTGTTTTAACCCTTTGAGGATGATGTTTAACCCTTTGAGAATGATGTTTTAACTCTTTGAGGAGGATATTTTAAACCCTTTGATGAAGATGAACTCTTTGAGGATGGTGTTTTAACCCTTTGAGGATGATGTTTAACCCTTTGAGGATGATGTTTAACCCTTTGAGGATGATGTTTTAACCCTTTGAGGAGTATCTTCAATAATAACTCAAGGATATGAACACAGAGAATTGCTAGTATATTTTATTCTGTTTCACTTACAAAGAGTTTGATATTAATAACAAATATATAGACTGACAGATGTGGGTTGTGACAGATTTGTACAGTGTCGCTCTAAGACTTCCATCGAGGTGTTACAAACAAACCTACAGCGCCTCTTGACAGTTTTGTATGGCGTCTGGGATCTCACCTTGGTATTAAAAAAAAAAAAACAGTATCTGACAAAGGCACGTAACACAGGCTCTTATGCCGGGGAAGTATAACTGATTGATAGAAAGAAAATGTGAGAAAAGAAGACGATAAATAGATATATATAAAAACAGTAGAGAGGAAAAGAGAAAACGGATAAACAAAGACAGAAAAATGAGACACATAGAGAGATAGAAACTGGTAGACGAACAGAGAAAAAAAACTACATAAATAATCCAGCAAATTATAACAACCTATGTTTTATCTTGACGTAGATCCATGTCTAACATAACACTAGTATAACACGTGGGCTAACCAGCAAGCACACATAACACAGGTTTACTCACACACACACAAAAAAAGAGGAGTTTGTAACGCCATCGAACAATACACATGCCATATATTGGACATAGAAGAGCGAGCATACCATGGAAGTTGCAACGCCAGATACAAGTGTATATTTATTTAGAATTTGATCAAAATATGTCACAAGAACCTATCATGTTTATTTTTCTTAGAATCTGGTCAAAATTTGGCCTAACATTGAAGGCCAAAAAACTTATGCTATATAATATAAAAACTATCCTTATATGTAGAATGAATATAAATACAGAACATCATGGTATTTGGGACACCGTTGGATATAATTATCAAGACATGTGAGAGAAATTTCCTCCCGTCACGCGCCGCTGCTAACACCTTTGTGACCACTCTGGGATAACCTTTCTGTAACACCTAATAACAGCAAATAACCAAGAATTCGTCATAAGCCACGTCAGTGTAGGCTGGTGACGTGGTGGGTTGGTGAGCTGGACAAAATATTCTCTCGATAAATGAATGAGTGAGTGAGTGAGTGAGTCACTCAGTCACTCAGTCACTCAGTCAGGTAAAACGATATGCGTATTTAAAATCAGCTGTTGAGAGGTTAATCAGTACAGTTTGGGATTAAAAGACTCCTCGTTACCATGGCAATATCTCGCATCTCTCAGTTAATAAAGAAAACAACACACAAACACTCATCTCAGACGGACTCTTTTGACTGTTGTTGACTGAGAGAAGTTAAAGTTTACCTCGTATATATTTCCTCCCCTCCAACACAAACAGGCCACGAGAAAGCTCCCTTCAGCTGCCAGTAGTCTGCAGTAGGACACATAGGGGACACATATATAGTTCTCTATGTTATTATCCGATTCAACAGCTTCATAATATAGTTCACTTTTAAGTTTTATTTATTTTTTCTATGACTTTCAGTAGTTAAAGAAGTTTCAAGTGTTCGTAGGACTTCCAACACAACTATGAGTACAGTAATTCCATTTATCTTTTGTGTACTTTTTTTTTTATCTTTGTTTTGTCGTTCTTTGCAAGTTCGAAAAAAAGGGAGGGAGAGAATGTTCCTGGTATAACACACTCAGCTTCTCAGTATCATTGTTACTTCACTGCGGAACTGTAAACAATGCACGCTACTTAATGAAACATATACTTGAATGTTTTTCTTTTCTTAGGATCAAAATAAGCTAACCAACGTTACTCTTACACTCAAGGGGTCACTAACACTTATCTCTAGGACTACAAATAATATATATGACGTTAATATCAAATTAGGTATTTTTGGAGAAGTTTTGTATTTATAAGCCTTGATATCCATCCACCTCGAGTTTGTCTATAAGGCTGAGTGACGATAACTCTTCATTGATCTAGACTTAGAAGGAATTAAAACAGACGTGATACAAGAAGATACTGATGACGGAGAGACCATTAACGTGCAGGACCTGCCTGATGGCGACGATGATGCCACGACTTCAGGCGGAGACGCAGACGATGGTATCAATGACGGTGGTGAAGTCATAAACACAGGCCGAGGGAGGTTATGAGTGAAGGGAAAGACAGAGAAGCTATAGCAACAGTGGATCACAATACCAACGAAGAGACATAAGACGATAATGGAGATGATAAAGGTAGACGAAGGAGAACTGAAGAGAATAATCAGAATTGTCACTATTGAGGAGTAAATGGAAGAGGAATGAAGGAGAAGTTCGCTGGTGGAAGGAATGAGATAGACGTGGAGGAGGAGAAGACAGGATAGGAGGAAGAGAGGAGAAGAGAAGGAGGTGGCAGAAGATGCAACATTTAGTCCACCTTGCTGGATGGCTGCCTCGTGTTCACCTGTAGGGGAGATACAGGTGGACATATAGTGGTAAAATTATACATGTAGAGTTATACAGGTGTGTGTGTGTGTGTGTGTGTGTGTGTGTGTGTGTGTAATATTATACAGGTAGAGTTGACGTTACACACTTAAACCTTCAATAATCATTCGACCAAATAGCCCACATTCTCTCTCTCTCTCTCTCTCTCTCTCTCTCTCTCTCTCTCTCTCTCTCTACATATGCTTATATCTATCTCTCTACATCTTTCTCACTGAAATCTCCATGTCATTTCAATCTTTCTCTCCCCCCCCTCCTCCCCTTGTCAATATCTCTTATCTCCCTTTAAATCTCTCGCTCTTTTTCATTCTGTTTGTTTCTAAATTTTCGTATTCATCTCTACCTCTTTATCTGTTGTTTATAATTTTTAGTACACAACATTTTATCTGAGCTCTGTGAGGCAAGATATCATCACCCTTCTGTACAAGCTCGGTGGCGTGGTGTACTAACCTTTCTGTACATGTACTAGCACGGTGGCGGGGTGGGAGCCTTGGGGCACACAGGAGTACATGCCAGAGTCTCCGGGACCCACCGACGACACCACCAGGCGAGTCGTCGTCTCTCCACGACCACGATCAATCTGACGACGACACCAGAAATTCGATTCAGGTTCAGATACAGAGAACTGCCTCAGAATTATTAACAGACGGACAGGTTTAGTTATTGAGCACAGATGCAGTCAATAAAATAATTATGATGATATAATAAAACTTTAGGAAATGTTTAAGTGGAATCTATCAACTTCTTGTATCGTAATTTTTTTTTCATTCGTTTAAAATATTTTCATCTTTCGTCACCTATATTGTCTAAGCTTCAGTTCCTCATTGGCATTCATAAAATCAGTAAAGTTCCTCATATCTTTTGTTTTGTTTTAGATTTTGCAGGTTTATTGATGATAATGAACTGTAATGACTGGTGATTACACAGACACGCGCCAGTATCAGCTGTTATGTGGATTTATTGAGTAATAATCCGGTGAGTGACGATGTGGTCATGTTTGTGTCAGGTGTTTTAGAGGTAATTACGACGTGGGAATTTTCAATATATTTATATTTTTTCTTCTAGAAGTTTTGTACTGTTCTATACTGTGGTTGGGATGACCATGTAATGTAACCCAGTATAAATTACATATAGAGGAGATCAGTATTAACCTGAGTTACCTAAACTGACTGAGCCGGGGAATAATTTAACCTAACCAAGCTTAAACTGGGGATAATTTAGCATAAACTAACTTAAACTTAACCTAACTTAAGCCTAACTGAACTTAAACTGGGGATAATTTAGCATAACCTAACTTAAACTTAACCTAACTTAAGCCTAACCTAACAAACTGGGGATAATTTAACCTAACCAAATTTAAACTAAGAATAATTTAACCTAACCTAACTTAAATCAAGGATAATTGAACGTACTCTAACTTAAGCTAAAAATAATTTAACATCACCTAACTTAAACTGAAAATAATTTAACTTAACCAAAAACTGGAGAATTTAACCTGACATAGGAAAAATTCTACTAATCAGCTAAAAAAGTGCGAATTTACTTGCCAAGATGACTTTCGAAGTGATAATCTTGCTTACAGATTATACTGAAAATTATTTATTTTTTCGATTATAGTTATCTAGAGAACAATGGAGGGCAAAAGGATAATCGTACAGGAGAAAGATGAAATTTTTACAGCAATTAAAGATAACAAATGATGATAATTTTACGGCAATTCAGAGTAAAAAAAAAAAAATAATAATAATCTTATAACAGTGAAAAAAATAAATAAAAAAACATCACCAGGTAGAAGATTACTAATTTCCCTCACGGCGAGTCACTTGATACTTCAGCACAGGGGGTGAATAACAAACAAACCTCCATAACCAGCCAGGGTACAGACTCCAACCCTCACATTATGTTGTTTTCTCCCCTTCCTTAAATGGGGATAAGAACACGCATATAATTACGATAGAGAGTGAAATTTTACCGCATAATTTACCTTCGTTTTTTTTTCTTGTTACGTCTAGTTGTTAGATGCGGTTAGTGGGGGAGGGAAGGAAGGTATTTTTAAAGCATGATGACGTGAGAATCCATGTTACAGTGTGCAGTATGGTATATATATATTTTTTTTTAGTTAGATAATGTTTTTATATTTCGACGTATAAAGGAAAATGTTATGTACGAAAGTTTGAGACTGTAAAACCTTAGATCCTATACCGCCCATATTATTATAATAGGATACTGAAGGTATTTGAGGATAACGTAGGTATATAGTGCAAATCCTTTTCCTTCTTCTCCTTCCCCTTCTCCTCCTCCTTCCTCTCTTCCTTCTCCTTCTCCTCCTCTTCCAACCTCCACCTTCTCCTCCTACTTCTCCTTCTTTTTCTTCTTCCTTTATCCATTTAGAAATACCTAAGTTGTATTTTCGAGTCCATCATTTCCACTTTCCTTTATTATTAACCTCCAGGCTCCCTTAACCACCACCACCTCCACTGGCTCTTCATTATCACAACAAAACTATCTCAGCCTTGTATCTCTCACCAGTGTGGTTATACATGTCACTACTCTGCTTATTGGGAGTCTAAAGAAAACGATGATATGAGACAGACTCCAGCGGTAACTGAATTATTTTGACTAACAGCGTCACCAGTTTGATATTTATCTTACTATGGTAACAGTTCTCTGGTTGGGTTTGGATCAGCTTGGATGATGTTCACTTAGATAGATTTTGGTTATGATTGTAAATCCCGTCTTAATGAAACAGAACAAAATATATCATATTTTAACTAATTTCAATTCAGTTATAGGCGTGAATAAAACAAAATAACATTGTTAATTCAGTCAAATATAATAATACGATCGAGTTATCACTGTAATGTAATCGTCCGACTTGTTAACGCACGGTAAAATAATACGAGGTAATTAACACACAGTAAAATAATAGTTAACACGGTAAAATAACATGACATAATTAACACGGTAAAATAATACGAGGTAATTAACAGAGTAACATTTAAGAAAGGTTTAAGACTTATGGTGTCTCTTACGTATTAATATATGACCAGCGAAGTGACACTTTAATGGAACACGAGTCGGGTATTACAGTCCGAGGAGGAACTCTTGATTAACTTTCAGAAAACATCCAATTTATTTTTATTCTGGCACTGGGAAGTAAGTACTGGAGTTGGGAGAAGACTGCTGGTGTTGGGAGGACAGTACTGGTGTTAGAGACAGTACCGGGGCAGGAAGTACTACCCACCTTCAGGTTCACGCCGCCCCTGGGGGAGTTGTAGTCAATAAGGCTGATGTCGTGGTACCAGTAGACCAGGGCTGAGGGGCCCCTCAGTGACGTCACCAGGCAGGTGAGGGTGAGGGAGGACCCCTCCTCGATGTACAGCTCCCGGGGCCCCAAGATCTCCACCCGGAGGTTACCTGAGGCAGGGAGAGGCAGTGAAAGTCAGCATATGTTGGGAGAAATGGTTCAAACAATGGTTCAGAATAAAAAAAAAGGGCGTGAATTAGTTTGTATGTAGTTTTTGTATGATTTTTCATATAATAACACGACACACGGGGTCCAATGAAATATGATTTGTTACAATTCGGTGAACTTGAAAAGCGGCGGCATTAATGTGAACGCATGACGACTGATCAATATACGATTTTAGGTTAAGTTGTTAGGTAAAATCACTGGGCAAATTACTGTGTTATTATCAAGTTAATTACGCCGTTGTAAAATGCATCATCTGAAAAAAGAAAAAAAAAGAAAAAAATAGTTTTCCCGGGGGAACTTTATGTAACCTGTGGAAATTGAATGGGCACTGATTAAATGCATTACTTTTTTTTAATATAATATTGATAAATGCTGTAAAATGACTATATGCCATTTGCACACACATTTATATAAACTCACATGTAATGCATATACCCATGTTTACATTTTTTTTTACTTGTTAACATTTACATTCCTCTTGGTAAATAAAGTATATACTTGCCTCTACTTTACGGAGTCCGAATAAGTTGGTATGTGTGAGTCCGTGTGTGGGCAGTTGTGTGTCTAATCTTATGTGGTTGTATATTTGCGTATGCTTTCATGTGCACTTACAGAAGCTGATAAAGCTTACATAATCACACCAACTTTCATGTCTTGATACTATCGGTAATGGTCGCTATACTACAAGGAATAGTGAGTCCGTTCGCTGTTGACAGTACGGTATTTGACAGTTCTGGGCGTAAGCAGGTTTAGGTCAAGATTCTGTCAACACAATCCACACTGTCAGGACAACTGATAACAAACAGTATGGTGGTCTTGTTGAGGATGGCCTGGTGCAGAACCTAGCCTAGCCTAGCCAAGCCTAGCCTAACCTAACCTAGCCTAGCCTAGCCTAACCTAACCTAGCCTAGCCTAGCCTAGCCTAGCCTAGCCTAACCTAACCTAACCTAGCCTAGCCTAGCCTAGCCTAGCCTAACCTAACCTAACCTAACTTAACCTAACCTAACCTAATACCAACTGCAGGTGTCATTGGAGAGAACACATTGCCTCCTGTTTTAACAAAGTCCCAGGTTGCTGATCTGACTTTCTGCCTCATTTACACACAATTGCAGGGTCTCAATTGTTTCTCTTACCATTGACAATACAACATACATATATTGTTTCTCACTCTTCATCTTTTTTTTTATTTTTTTATTTTTTATGGTTCATTATTATTATTATTATTATTATTATTATTATTATTATTATTATTATTATTATTATTATTATTATTATTATTATTATTATTATTATTATTATCATTATCATTATCATTATTAATATTATTAATATTATTATTATTATTATCATTATCATTATCATTATCATTATTATTATTATTATTACATTTTCGCCCCCCAGGCCCCGTTGTGGGTCAGTGACCTGTGTCCAGGTGGGCTAATCCCAGTTAAAAAAACCAGAACAAAACAATAACTGTGAAATGCTTGACACACTGTTAAAATTGTACAAAATCTCGTATCAGTAACAGATAAATTCTTCAGTCACGAATATCTGGTTTTATCTGAAGTGGGTCAGCTGTCATCATGCAGAGTACCAGACCTTGTTGGCTACCTTACTACACCCTACCATTTACAGCTGATTTTCCGCTCGAACGAAAAACGAAATGGCTCCTGAAGTTTTTTTTAATAGGTAGACGAGATAATTTACCTAAAATACTCTAGCTCTTGGATTCTGACATTAGATTAAACTTTGTGGATCTTATATGTTACCAAGTTTGAGTGAGAAGTTCTTTGTGGATCTAATATGAAGCTTGAGTCTGAAAAGTTCTAGTAGGCAGGATATGGGGTTATGGTCGCAACTTCAAAAAATAAAATAAAAACGAAAATAAAACAATAATATTCAACTACTCTCTCTAATGAATATATTATCTTAGTCTTAGGGAAGGACTTGTAGTTGTGTAAAACATAATATTGTTTCAAACCGAACTGAACATTGTAATGAACCTCACTAAAACTCTTATAATTCATCCTGCTAAATTTATAAACTCAAGTGACTCTTACAATAGTTTTCTTTTCTGTTTTACTGGACAGAACACAGTTTAGCCTCAAATATGAACAAGGAAGAACATAAGGGGAAACAACTCACGTACCCACACAGGATAGGTTCTCTGGTGTTAAGGAATGAGGACAATAGTATCATTTAGAATAACATAGCGACACATTTAATTCTATCTTTAAATCATAGGACGTATTCACACTATTTCTGTCATTCTTTGTTTTGTTTTGTCACTGTGACGAATTTATACCTCAATCTATAAGACCAGAGGTAGCGAGAGGCCGGAAATGGTAGGGGAGAGGTAGTGTAAGGCCGCTAAATAGTGGTGAGAGGTTGTGTAAGGCCGGAAAATGGTGGGGAGAGGTAGTGTGAGGCCAGAAAATGGTGGTGAGAAGTAGTGAGAGGCCGGAAGTTGGCGGGGAGAGGTAGTGCGAGGCCAGAGGAAGAAAGTTGGGGAGGGGATGAAGAGTCGGAGGGGAGAGAATCAGGGAGGGAACAGAAGAAGGTTGAAGGAGGGAGAGAGGGAGGGAGGGAGGGAGGCTGGGAAGAAGGGAGGAGGGAGGGAGGGAGGAGGGAAGGAAGGAAGGGGGAGGGCGAGGGAGGGAGGGAAAGGACGGAGGGAGGAGGGAGGGAGGGAGGAGGAGGAAGGAAGGAAGGAAGGGGAGGGTGTTAGCGAGGGAGGGAGGAAAGGAGGGAGGGAGGGAGGGAGGGAGGGAGGGAGGGAGGGAAAGGACAGGACGAAAGCACATTGAATAAAACAGCTGAGTGGAGGCAATAGTGTGGTAGTAGTTAAGGTTACAAAGTGGCTTCTCTCTCACTTTTTTCTCTCTCTACCTTTATCAGTCCCTCTTTCTGCTCTTCTGCCCCCCTTCTCTCTCTCTCATTTTCTCCTCCTTTCTTACATTATTTTTCTCTTTTTTTCCCTCTTTCCATCTTGCATATCGTCGACTATCCCGTCTCTATCTTTTAATCTGTTTTTATCTCTCTCTCTCTCTCTCTCTCTCTCTCTCTCTCTCTCTCTCTCTCTCTTCTTTAATCTCTATACCCATCTCTCTGTCTCTCTCTCTCTTCCTCTTTCTTCCTTTTCTACTTTCTCTCTTTTGCTTTTCGTCTTTCCCCTTCTTTGTCTCTCATATAATCGCTACTTTCTTTCCTGTCTGTCTGCCTGTCTGTCTGTCTGTCTGTCTGTCTGTCTGTCTGTCTGTCTGTCTGTCTGTCTGTCTGTCTGTCTGTCTGTCTGTCTGTCTGTCTGTCTGTCTTCCTTTTCCTATTATAGAAATATAGAACACTGGAATAAATAACCATTAAATGAGACTCAGGTAGACAAAGACCACACATATAAACACGAGACAAGGTAAATATTTCAAAGCTCTATCACAATGTACAAAAAAAAAAAGAACAGTATATATAAATGTCCGTGTTAACGTTAGTGTACAAACAGTGTATAATGCGCTTTTTTTTGTTTTTATTGTTGTTTATTTTACATGGTGTTGTCTCGTCATTGTTATATATTACGCGCGCACACACACACACACACACACACGCACACACACACACACACACCATCAGGTACTGGAAGGCCCTCGGGAGTCGGGTGTTAAGTGGGAAGATACTATTTCACTTTTCATTAATCAGTCATCAACAATCATTCTCTCTTATATCGAGTTAAGTAAATCATTATAGGAGGTTGGTGCTAATGGTCTTTACATATAGGATGGCTAAAGACAGAACACGAGATACCTTTGAAGTTGTCGAAACACCATTAAAGAAAATTTATCGTTCTTATGTTATATTATTTACCCTTTAGCGTCAGGACAGTATAGCGGGGCCGTCCAGGAGTTGGTCTCAGCAAGCTTCTTTGTCAGAGGGAATTGTTTAAACTTAGATGACCAAAAGGGAGAGAGAGAAGATAGAGGTAAGAGGGAATGGAGAGAGAGAGAGAGAGAGAGAGAGAGAGAGAGAGAGAGAGAGCTTTATTACGATCTCCCTGCATCATTACTCTCCTTTATACTTAATGTTATGTTCAGTTAACACACACACACACACACACACACACAGAGCTAATTCTCAGGCTCACGCGAACTATGATATGAGTCCCAAGATAATACGATTATTAGGAAAGTCGAGGAAATGAACTCACCTTCCTCAGATAAGTTTAAAAGTTTAATTAAACATGAGAGTAAAAAAAATCAGATACGAGCGGCTTCCTTCTTTATGGAACGAGTGAATATGATGGTGAGGGAGAGGGACTGTAGGGTGATGGTAGCACCTAAATAAGACTGGTTGAACGTTGCGGTTAAGAGAGAGAGAGAGAGAGACTTTGGTATTAAAGGTCAACGAGAGAATGCCAGCCAAATTAGACTGTAGCTTCTACTTAGCTTCCCTGGCCTTCATAGTCTCGAATTCAACAGTTCCTGCCGTCTTCCCCTCCCCCCTCCCCTCCAGTGAGGTTTCTGGAGTGAGACAGTCGACTTAATGGGCCTTTCTAGCCGCCACCACCTAGGCACACCAGCTTTCAATTTGGGCGGGAAAAGGAAACCACGAATAAAAATTATCTGACTGCCCCCTGGTGTTTCCATCGCTGTTGCATAATACATTCAGACGAACACTGCCTCTGGAAGAAAATGTGTAATTTTTGTAGCTTTAGAGGCTATACAGAGAACACCTCTGTGTGGAAGACTACAGAAAATGGCGCAAAAGGACTTATGCAGGGGCTTACACACTGCCTACTCCTACAGGCGTGAGAACTGTCAACAAACCACCAGACACATCAACCAAATGTCGAACTAAACAAAGTTGGGGTTTACTCTAGCAGATGTTTTTTTTTTCCGCCGTACTGGACAGAATGGATCCCTCGGGAGAGTTCATCCCTCTTCCCGACCACATATTACTCTTAGATGTGGACATTGGGAATTGAGATTTAAGAGACAATTAAATGTCAGCCAGATAGCCTCACTCAGGGTGTCAGCCCTGCGTCAGATGGTCGCTTCCCGAACACAACTGGAGTCTTGATGCTGTGCAGTGCACATGTTCAAACGTGTATTAGTGTTCGGCACTGACTTAGCCGTCTAATATGTCATCCTATTAAAGTAAACTGGTTAGTGTGTAGAGATGAGTTCTGTGGCTAATTGACAGTCCTTCAATTCCTCCCCATGACTGGAGTTCTGGAAAGGTGTGATGACGTTGATGTCTTCCACAGAGCCAAGTCCAGCAGGTGCCTCACCTTGCCACCCTGCACCTCCCAGCAAGGGCTGTAGTGTACAATACGCGATAACGGTGAAGGATCCAGGCCACCCTGACTTGACCCTCACTTAATTTAAATTGGAGCTACGTTTTGAAATAAAACTTCTATTTTTTTTAGCACAAATTATCTTTTGACTTGCTAAACACTTGGCTATAGGCATGTAGAGAACTCATAAGAAATCCTTCCCCTGCACTTACTCAGTGTCGAATTTGTGGTGAAAGCAGAAAACACAACCTTCAGCATTACATCTCAGAGTGCTGGCTGACCTGAGTACAATATATAGGACGCCGTCCCTAATTAGCTGCATAAATAAAGACTTAAAAACTAAACTAAAATAGCTACTCTTGCTAAATTGTTAGTCAGTTTAGTATCTTTATAAAGTGCCTTTTCCTAATGTATATTGTAAATGAAGTGAAGAGAGGGGGAATCACTTTAATAACAATATACAGTACACATGTAGCGATATACGTGCGAACATATATATTAGAAACGCATATGAACTCATAGATTTATAGCAAGTAATAACACACACACACTGCGTCGTTACTGTACCATCATAATTGTGTATCTCTCACATTATTATGAGATTACTGTATTACAATGATGTTACGTGAATGTTGTTAGGGCCTAGTGCTCGGGCCCTTCATATTAGTTTGTATTAAAAGATCTTGTGCGACTTGGTGATTGTATATTGATTGTTAAGATCTAATGGAAAAACACACACACACACACACACACACACACACACACACACACACACACAAAAGACGTGGTATATTGACTGACCGTCTTTGGTAGAAGCTGTATTATTGGCCACAAACACCTTGGTCTTCGTTACCACCTGCCGGGGATCTGTCTCGCCACCACGATGAAGCAGAGGAAGAGAAGACACACACATACGGGTTAATAAATTTATATCATACATGGGAGTTTCTTATCTCATGTATGACGAGAGATAAAGAGTTTGGGTTAACATGGAGAAGACGAAACGGAGATGGGAAAAGAAAATGAAGAAAATAGGGTAAAGGGATAATAAGAACGACAGAGTAAGAACAGGGATGGGATTAGGGTGGAGGAGGAGATGGAAGAGAGACGGAGAAAGGAAAGGAGAATGAGAGTGAGTAAAGAAAATAGGATACAGGGATAATGAGTACGACAGAGTAAAAACGGGGATGGGATAGGAGGGGTGGGGGTGTAAATAGGGAAGAAGAGAGGATGCGGGGGGGAAGTAACAGAGAAGAAGGAGATGTTGTAGTGTAGAGAGACAGAGATTATGTAGCAAAGAAGAGGGATAAGAAAGGGGAGGATAGGAGATGGAATTGATGGATTGACGGAGAGAGAGAGAGAGAGAGAGAAAGAGAGAGAGGGGGATGTAAATTGGAGTGAAATAGAGCAAATTTTACCCTACATTAAATAGTTTTTCTTAATTATATCAATAAAAACAAGGTTATTCCTATTTAACAAAAACCTCAGTTGTTTTTTTTTAAATGGAGGACTTACCTTGATTTACCTGTATTTTTGTCATTTCATAATCATTTTTAATTTCTCATTTTAATTGTTTTGTGTATTAATTCTTGTCTATTTAAACACACATGAAATAGTTCAGTTTTTGTATCGTTTGATATTTTACCATTAAAGTAAACTGTTTATTCATTCCTAACTATATTTTATTTTTCTTCAATTTTTATCATTGGTATATGTGTTTATTTCACACTTAGGTTTAGTGTTGTGTAAGAAAGGGGAGGTGATCGTGAGGGAAGTATTTCAATCAGAGCAGAAGAGCTCAGTAAACCCCGCAGGGAATCTTGTTACGAAAAATCCCTTCCAGGAATTTCCGGACCTGTTTACTCAACTCCAAGGTAAAGAGTGGGAAAGGCCAGAGATTTTATTCCTCGTCAAACATTTTTCCTATATTGAAGTTCACGTTATGTTCACAATAACGGAGAAGGATACAATTTTTAACATGAAACAGGTCTAAACGCAATCTATCTCTCTCACACACACACACACATACATACATGCAGATACACAGATATATACGTAGACTTACACACATAAAAACACTAATAAAACACACACATAAACATACACACACACACACACATCTATGGAAGGGTTATAAGTGAAGTCATCAAACACAGATTCACTATGAAGAAGATAAACGATAAAACGGGTGATGTATTATGACACTGATCGGTGGGTTTTATGCTGTAGAAAACATTGATCAATTTGACACCATTGGCCATATTTAGTGAATTTGACGACTCTGGCGAATATTAGGTAACGGATTTGATGACTATTGAAAGTGTGTGATAAATATGGATGGTATAATATTGTTTTACATGAAGGTGTTATGTGGAAGACTTGGCGGAAGTGTTTTGTTAGTCGTAATCCGCCCCGATATCAGCTGTCACCCTCAGCCGTTGTAGTAACTCTTCAGGAATCAACCGACACTCATAAACTCTCATTGTAGTTTCAACATATGCTCACCATGGACTCATTAAGACTCACCGTGGACTCATCAAGACTCACCATGGACTCATTAAGACTCGCCGTGGACTTATCAAGACTCGCCGTGGACTCATCAAGACTCACCCTGGACTCATTAATACTCACCATGGACTCTGAGTGTGACGTGACGTGAGAGTTTTGGTTCAGTGTTGACCTGACACTCGTAGACGCCGGCGTCTCTCAGCTGAGTGTAGCGCACCACCAAGGTCCACTCCTGGCTGCCCTCCGCGTGTACCACCTGCCAGGGGGAGACAGCTGGTGAGGGGAGACTGCTGGTGAGGGGGAGACAGCTGGTGAGGGGAGACTGCTGGTGAGGGGGAGACAGCTGGTGAGGGGAGACTGCTGGTGAGGGAGACGATTGCAGCTGGTGAAGGGAAGACAGCTGGTGAGCTGCTGGTGAGGGGGAGGAGGGAAGACAGCTGGTGAGGGGAGACAGCTGGTGAAGGGAAGACAGCTGGTGGGGAGACTGCTGGTGAGGGGGAGACAGCTGGTGAGGGAGAGACAGCTAGTGAGGGGGAGACAGCTGGTGAGGGAAATATACAAGACTGAAGAGTAAACAGATGGTCATTATGGAGTGTGCCTCATCAACCCGACTTAAGAGAGATAATGAGAACGACCAAGCTGCTCTTGAGGGAAACAAAGGGGAAGCAACTCAGGCTATATGAGGGTAGCGAGAGGCCAAACCTTTCATATTTTATAACACTGGACTGAACTAAGATTAATACAGTCTTCAGGGTATACAGTAGCCAATTATACGCTTTTAATTATTGAGTATAAAGCCCATTATAGTGTCTGTAAGGTAATTAAGTGGGTAAATTGACGATAATTATGACATTTTGTTTCTTGGAGAGAGAGAGAGAGAGAGAGAGAGAGAGAGAGAGAGATAGATGATGATGATGACAGGGATTCAGATGGCCGGTGAGGGAGAGGGAGAGAGAGAGTTGGCTTGTGAGGGAGGGAGCGAAGCAAGAGATAGTTATGAGGAAGGGAGGAAGAGGGTTGGTGATGAAAAGGGACAGCTGGTGAATGAGAAGAAAGCCTAGTGAGGGAGGGAGATGAGGAGGGAGATAGCTGAGGAAGGTAGGCAAGTGGTGAGAGAGAGAGAGAGAGAGAGAGAGAGAGAGAGAGAGAGAGAGAGAGAGAGACGCGTGGTAACAAAGTGAGATAACTGGTGTGAGGGAGATATTTAAAGAGAAAATTTTGACGAAGGACAGAGGCTTTTAGACAGACAGACAGACAGACAGACAAACAGGAAGACTGACTTAGAATTTGTATTGTCATATGAAAAAAAAATATATAAATTTCAACATTTTGTAACACCTTAAAGTTTACAGTCCAAAATGTCTTTTAGATTACGCCCTCCTGCCCCGATGTCATAGTTCTATAAGTGAGGTTTATTTCACACTTTTGGTCGTATCAGGCAGAGGAGTATTATTTCACTGATATTTTTGTTGGGAAAATTGATGATGCTCTCAATGTATTGTGGAAACTATTCACGGTTGTCGGAGTCGAGTGCTGTTGTTTGTAAAGGTTAGTGATGTTTTTAGGGGGGGAGGAAGGTGGATTCGCCCTCAGGAAGAATTTAGATTCATCTATCTCTTTTTTTTCTTTCTTGTTTGTTTTCCTCCCTCTGTCTCTCTTTCTGTCTCAAAATTTCCTCTGTTATTTTTTTTTTATTTTTTTTTTAATCGGATTTGTTTGGTTTCTATCTTCGTCTTCTTTGTCAATTTCATTTTAGCATATTTTATCACACTCTCTCTTTCTTTCATACATGATAATTTTTTTCTCTCTCTCTCTCTCTCTCTCTCCACCTGATCTTCCCTTCCTCAAGACCTCCCATCCCACACACACAACCGATCGTGTATGCATGGATTGGGAACTGTCCCATCACTCTCTCTCTCTCACACACACACACACACACACACACCATCATCTATATATATGCATGGATCGTGAGCTATCCCATCAGTTTAGCAATGCAGGACACCTCGACACTATCAATCTCGACCCACTGCCACCCAGTTACCGTGTAAGCCACCACAACAGCGTCTAGTTCACTGTCGTAAGAGAGGTTTTATATCTTGTATTGTCTCGAGTGGGGACCCCAGGATACCACGTCTTGCCTATGGGTAATATTTATCCCGAATGGTCATATTTTAAAGTATGATTTGAGTTTAAGTGAATCCTCGAGTAGGGAGCTGGACTGATGGACGGAGGGAGGGGTGGAGTGGGGAGGTGAGGAATGAAGGGAGGGTGAGGACGAGGGTAAGAGAGAGAGAGAGAGAGAGAGAGAGAGAGAGAGAGAGAGAGAGAGAGAGAGAGAGACCATAACAATAGCCACTCGCTCACTTATTTCAGGAGATATTCTTATCAGACATCCACGATCACCCCTTAAAGAGATAAGACGTCTCACCTCGAAGGCTCTGTTTATCTTTCATGGTTCGTATCTTTAAAATAGTGTTTCGTAATTCACTTCCTCGGCGAGTGAGTGAGAGGACGATACTTGGTACGGTGAAGATAGGGAGAAGAAAGATGAAAGGGAAAGATAGATGAATAAGGGAGGATGGGAAAGAATGAGACAGTTAAGTGAGGAGGAATGAGAGAGAAAGAGGAGAGAAAGTAATGGGAAAGTTAAAGTGAGGAGGAATGAGAGAGAGAAGGAGGAGAGAAAGGAAAAAAGTGATGAGGATTGAGGGAGAAAGATGAGAGAAAGGAAAGTAGTAACGGAAGATTTAAAGTGAGGAGGAATGAGAGAGAAAGGAAAGAAGTGAGGGAGGTAAGCAGTTCAGTACCTGGAAGCGCTGATCGGCGGAGTAGGTGTGGTGTCCAGCTGTCAAGATGTGTAGGTCACGGCGCCTCAGCCACGTCACCTGGGAAACATAACACATCATCATTATATTCCAAGTAATAATGTTTTCTACTCCCGCTAATCGTACTCTCAGTAGTGCATTATACTCTCTCTAGTTCACTGACTATTGGGGGTAAAATAGTGTTATAAGGAAGAAAAGTCTTTTACATGTATGAACTGATCTACTGAAATCGCTAAAGAATAAAATCATTTCATTTCTTAGTCACAATTCTCTCTCTTGACAACAATCCTGAAACCGAGAGCAAAATAACTTAATACAGACACCAACAATTCTCGATAAAGCCGAAATCTTGTCTGACAGTTTTATGACAACAAATGCGTCTGACTAAATATAGCTGATCCATGGAATTGACAAGTGTCCATCATATCTTATACCTTGTTCAGTAAAGAGTATATCTCCGCTCTAGAGTAGTTTCATATTTAGGAGAAATAACTTATTGGCTGTTATATAATTTGTTTTAACGAATAATAACTCCATGTATGTCACTATATATACTGCACCATGAGACATATTAATCAACAAATAAAATTAAGGAAAACGAAACAGCCGATATGTTGTACAATGAGGACCTTAGATTAGGTAACTGTTTTAGTCACTCCCGGAAGCTGCTGTCTTCGTTATTGTCACTTATGTAGTTATTTTGAACAACCTCCCCCTCCCCCCACATGTATCTGCATCATTATAAGATTAAATAAAACACGTTAAAATGAATATCAATCCATGGTGATACTGATAACTCATACACTGAACATAACAAAATACTTTTAACATCTGTTAGTATGGCGACGTGAAACAGTGAAGGTTATGTGATATTATCCAAACGTTTAGTTAGTAAATATATTTTCTATTACTATTTGTATGTATAAACACCCCAATATACTTCTCAATAATCTTTCACTCATAACAAGGCCAGAGGTTATAAGTCTGATCTATGTATTATGACAAACTTGTTGGCCTCTTTGCCCAGAGAGACGGGAGCCTTCCACTGGTTAGAAAAGAGAGAACAAATCTCTCTCTCTCACTGGAGATTATAAACAACTATATATCTGTGAATAAATAAATATTTTTTTCGTCACCTCGATTTCTAGCCATACGCAAACCTCGGTAAACTCACTCCACTTTTACAACATCCATCATCGGACTCCACACAGCTGGCTGGTGTGAGGACGCTGCCATAGCCTTGTTTAAATATAACAATCGGATGCTGGATGTTTTTTATTATGTTTTTAAAACCTCCATTAATTATCGTTTAGTAGGAATCTTTTCCCTAAAAAAAAAAAAACATCTCTATTGTCTTTAAATGTTTTAGTATGAATTATAAAAAGACGTTTCTGAATTCTTGATAATAATGAGATTACTTTATTTCCCTTCGTGTTCCTGCTATTAAGTAATTCTCCATCTTCCCATTACATTCACTTGGCTTCACAGATCCACAACTGCATCATTTATTTTCCTTGTCTGAGTAATTTCCACGTATGTTGTCCGGGTCTAGATATTTCATTGTTGTTGAGGTTTTCAATAGCTTCTCTTACGTGTCTTAAGTGATGGTCACGGCACAGGGGCTTCAGCTGCTGGCCAGAAAAAAATATTTGAACTGTATTTTAGATGAGGCTGAGGCAGGTCTGTTCACGAGACTCTGTAAGGAACCTTCTCCCCTTGAAATCCATTAACTTTTTTTCACACAGTTATCACATCTCCTTTCTGTCCTCTTATTGGAATTCTTATTTTGTTTCTTTTCTCACTTGTTTGACATGTTTATACCATTATCTTACTCTACCTCACCTTCATTTCTTTCCTGTGTTGTATAATTTCTGTCTTGTCATTGCAACTCTTCTTCTCACTCTGAGGCATCGAAGTGTGTGAATAATGTTGGCATTCTCCATCTTTATATTTGTATTTCTTAGTTTTATCATTTAAAGTCTTATTTCATTTATCTTCTTCTCTCTTGTAGTATATTCCTGCTTTATTATAAACTTATTGATGGCCAGGTATATATATATACTCGTATATATATAGTGTGTGGGTGAGTGCGTGTATCGGCAGTTAAGCATTTTATGTAATGCTAATAGTTGCTCTCGCAAGCTTAACAGGTACAGTTTGGGGCACTTTACCACTTACAGTTTTTGACTCATAAGTCTTGTGATGAAATATACACACAGTATACTGTACTATTAAAACATGACCTTCATCCTCCCTCACTCCGGTCTGAATTGGTGATAAATATTTAGTTTGTGTTTATTGTTTCCAAACATTGGTAATTTGGTCAATATTTTATGTATTTGGCGACCAATAAGTCTCTTTACATTTATTGCCACAAAGTAATCTCAAATATCTGTTTCATTTCTTCCGTTAGAGTATTGATAAATTATTTATGAAAAGCTTCCTTCATGTACTGATGGTTGTCTTAATACTGCCATTAGATATTAAGTATTGTCATAAATTACTTGATTTGGGTACTGATAATCCTCTTCATAAATACTACCTAAGAATATTGATAATTTTGTCAAGAAACACTGCCTTTAGTTATTAATAATTCTTGTTACGTTTACATTCTCCCAGCAAAGATATATAAATAGTGTAATACTTTTTGTTTCTTTGTTTAATTGATAATTGTAGTTACAAGTGGCAGTCTCCTCGTATGTTAATAATTCTCATAACTTGTGTTGTCTGCGGGGACTGAGATTTAATTTCAAAGGTTTCGTCTGAGTGTTTCATTAGTTTTGTTTACAGTTTCTCTGTTTTGTGATAGAGTATAATAATTGTAGTTACATACAGTACACACTTCCCCTTCTCTCTCTCTCTCTCTCTCTCTCTCTCTCTCTCTCTCTCTCTCTCCTCGCCCCTTATCTCACTACATATTTCTTTCTCCTCTCCTCACATCAATTCTCCCCCTCGTTGCCTTACCTCACTTTATCTCTCCGTCTTTCCGTCCATTCTCTCTCTCTCTCTCTCTCTCTCTTTCTCCTTCATTTTTGGTTTGCCTCTCTTGTTATCTTTCTTTCCTTTCCCCTTTATCTCGCACCTCCCTTGCCCTCCTTATGTTTCTTCGCCTCTCTCTCAGTTACACCGGCCCACTTTACGATAAGCAATCAGAATTAAAAAAAAAATGCAGCCTATTGACGCTATGATTAAACATAAGAGTTAAAAGATTCTCTCGTTCAAGCAGCTTAACGAGGGAACTGCAGGCAAAATACGCTACCAGAATATATTGTTACGAGCGCTTGTTTTCCAAAATGAACTACAATTAACGCGGGAAATGCAGCACTTTTTTGAGGGTGGTTCATGTAGGACTCGACTGCTCTTAAACATCGCACGTAAAGCTGTGATTTTAGGTGTTAATGAAGAGCTCAAAGGCCAGGATACTTGTGTATTTCACTTGGTTGTTTGTATTGGAGTGGAAAATCTATTAAAAGACTTTCATCTCTCTCTCTCTCTCTCTCTCCAGTGACTATTGTATTAAGAGCTGTGTAGTGTTTATTCTGAGAGTACATTATCGTTCTGTTCTTTTAATATCTCTCTCTCTCTCTCTCTCTCTCTCTCTCTCCAGTCTGGTGAATTTGAGAGTAGGACTTCCTTTTCAAGCCTTCAATTGTAAGAACTAATGGAAATACTTGAGCACTTAAATAAAAGAATACAAATCTTTCTTTTTTTTCAGCATGAATCATTTATGTTTCTTAAATCTTGTTTATTTGCCTTATCTCGATAATATACAGCTAATATTTATCAGTCTATTATATTATATCAATAACTATCTCATTCTTATCCAAATGAATATTAAGTTGCCTTAACTATTACTGTTCTTTGAATTTTATTTATGGAGTTTGTATTGTAGAAATCAAATCTCTGTGATACATTTAATTTTCGATATTTGCATCTCACATATATCTATACTTATAGGAATATTATGACATGTAATGACTTAGCCGTTGTGGTAGAAATGACTATTAGATTTTGCTGAAGTGAATGACGTAGTTAGAAGTTTTTTTTTTCAAGTTTTAATGATACCTAAATCGTGTTCTTGAAGTTGGCGATACAATAGTTAAATCTTGTGAAATATCTGCTGGTGCCTGTAAGAATATTTCTATACCAGGTTAGGTTAGGTTAAGTTAGGTTAGGTTTATCTAAATGGGAAATACATTCTTGTAGTGATCTAAGACGTACGGATGTGTGTGTGTGTGTGTGTGTGTGTGTGTGTGTGTGTGTGTGTGTGGAGTGTGTGTGCGTGTATGTGTGAGAGATTGAATGTGTGTGTGTGTGTGTGTGTGTGTGTGTGTGGGAGTGTGTGTGCGTGTATGTGTGAGAGAGTGAATGTGTGTGTGTGTGTGTGTGTGTGTGTGTGTGTGTGTGTGTGTGTGTGTGTGTGTGTGTGTGTGAGAGAGAGTGAATGTGTGTGTGTGTGTGTGTGTGTGTGTGTGTGTGTGTGTAGAGAGAGTGAATGTGTGTGAATGTGTGTGTGTGAGAGTGTGAGTGTGTGCGTGTATGTGTGAGAGAGTGAATGTGTGTGTGTGTGTGTGTGTGTACATAGTTGGATAATTAAATTGGAGGGAGATGGAGAGCCTAATGTGGACGGTGAGACACAGGGTTGGGTGGGGGCGGGGTCATCGTGGTGCTGGCTGGGCATTAGTCACCTCCTCAAGCACATTGATGGTTGTGGAGCCAGAGGGGCGTGTGGGAGGAGAGGGCGTGGTGAGGATAGGGCGTGGTGGAGGAGAGGGCGTGGTGGAGGATAGGGCGTGGTGGGAGAGGGCGGCGGAGAGGGCGTGGCGGAGAGGGCGTGGTGGAGGGAGAGGGTGGTGGCGGAGAGGGCGTGGGGGAGGAGAGAGGCGTGGTGGAGGGAGAGGGCGGTGGTGGAGGAGAGGGCGTGGTGGAGATAGGGCGGGTGGAGGAGAGGCGTGGTGGAGGAGAGGGCGTGGTGGAGAGGGCGTGGTGGAGGAGAGGGCGTGGTGGCGGAGAGGGCGTGGTGGAGGAGTGCTGGAAGAGAGGGTGGAGAAGTGCCCCCGGGAAAGAAGAAAAGAAAATGGATCAGTGATTAAGATGGATTTTGTGTATTAAAGTTGTTGTTGTTGTTGTTGTTTTTGGTCGGGCTTCTTAACGCAACTTTTTTCCTGTCCTCCCAACACTGGACTTTCTTTCCTCAGACTCTACCAAAATTTATCGAAAAATAAAGGATCATACATCTCGGAGTTTGAGGTTAGGTTAGGTTAGGTTAGGTTAGGTTAGGTTAGGTTAGGTTAGGTTAGGTTAGGTTAGGTTAGGTTAAGTTAGGTTAGGTTAGGTTAGGTTAGGTTAGGTTAGGTTGCATAATTTAGATTAGGTTAGGATGATTATTTTAGGTTAGGTTAGGTCACCTTATCTTATGATAGTTTAGATTAGCTTGCATAATCAATATTAGACTAAGATATCGCAGGTAATTAGGTCTGTTTAGGATAGATTAGATTAGTATGGACAGGTGATATCTCTGGCAATCACCTGGTCGAGTCTGAATCAATGAAGGTAAGACAGGGTTGTCCTCTGTACTATCCCGGGGTGATGTACTGCCTCACTCAAGATATTGATATATGTCGTAACTAAATTAGGTAATGATATTTATAGGAAGCGTAAAATCATTAGTTAGGTCCGGATGAAGTGAATTACATATTCTCAATATTATTTTGTTTCTCTTTATTGATTTTATAGTGTGGCGTCTTGTTCATTTTGCATAGTCATTTTATAAAGAGACTAATATATGATCCTCAAATGATTTCTGTGGCTTATAGGTTTATATTATACATCTTATAGTAGATGTAATACACATCATCTAACACAGCTTAAGGCCAGTTTTTTTTACCTTATTAACTCGTGTCATCAAAAGTAGTGACGTCATATTCGATATTTTAATTAAGCAATGAATTATTCCTTCAGGCATTACACTGGTCTATAAACAGTAGACTGTAACCCAGTTTTACAGTAATTAAATTTGTTTAAGTGATGCAGTGGCTTATTCTTTACAAGAACTTTAAATTCTAAAACATGTGAAGGTCTTATTTTCGTTATGTTTTACACAGGTTTAAAGCTGAAAATCCACTTTGCTCACCCCTCCAGTCCCCTCCCCTCTCCCTTTACTCTCCCTCACTCCATGCCACTCTCTTTCCCTTCCTTCAGCATTCCCTCTTTTCCTTCCACCTCTCTTACCTTCTACGAATCTCCAACCCCATGCCATATCCCCCCCCCCCCCCCCCCGTACCCCTCCTCCTAGTAGACTCTCACAACCTCCTTTCCACCCGTTCCACCTTTTCCCTCTTTTCATTACAGTCATCTTCCATCACATCCTGGCGACAACCTCCCACCATCCCCACTTAAACCACTCCACCGTCATCCTCCACGTACCCCCCACCACCCCAACCTCTCCTTAGTAGTAATTCCTCAGCATTACTAGCGTGTTCTCAACCATTAAGGGGAATTGGATACTCGACTTAAACAACACCAAGACCTGGCACCTGCTGTCTCATTGGTTCTTAGTGCTGCAACCACCGTCTGTCTAAGGCACTGCTTCTACCTCGTCTGCTTATTTTTCTTTACTGGCCTAGGTGCGAAATAATAATGATAATAATGTAAATAATAATAATAATAATAATAATAGGGAGTGGGTCGTTTAATAAGAAATAGTACAAGTAAGGAGAAGAAGCAAGGAAGGAAGATACAATTTAACAATGAATCTGACTATTTCTTACAGTGGGAGGAAAGGAATAGTTTTGTTGTGTTTTGTGTGAGGTCGTTTAGCCTTGAAGCTGTTATGGTGTCAAATAACAACGCACAGACGAGGACCTGAAATGGCAGAAGATGTCGTTAACGAGGATGGTACAGCAGGTGTGTCCCAAAATGGATAATGTCGATATGATGATGAAAGGGAGATGAGAGGAACAATGTACTTAAGTGCCTCTTGATAGATGGACTTTGGTAGTCACTGGCTGTCTTGGGATCTATGTTGTCTTAGGAAGTGAACATTTTGCTAATCTGTTTTTATTCCGTTTGTAGTAAATTGGTCATTACTCTTTGGAGTATTTTCATGATAGATGTTTGTTAGTATACGAGGAGAGTAGTAGAAGTAGGCGAGAGAGAGAGAGAGAGAGTGTGTGTGTGTGTGTGTGTGTGTGTGTGTGTGTGTGTGTGCCCTCGAATGTATTTGGTGAGTCAGCATCCTCGTGTCCTCGTACAAGATATTTCAGCAATATTGTATGAGAATTAATCTTGTGAACTGTAGCCGGCATATGTCTCCTCAGCACCATGGTGAGGTTATGAGGGCTCCGGCCAGCGTTTTCTCTCATCATCGCTTCTCCAGATAATTTGGATTATTAATTAAACCAAGAATTATTGTGAATATTATCAACACATCCTCTGTTTATCATCAGCCCTGTGTCCTGTGTTCACTGTAATCTTTGTTCAATACATCAGTTTATAACGTGATTTTTATTTGATTCTTACTAAGTTGTCTCCTGTAACACGTGATTTTTATTTGATTCTTACTAAGTTGTCTCCTGTAACAATTACTAAAAGAATAAAATTGAACTATCGGTCAAACTGAATCTGTTTAGTTTATATGTGTATCAGAATTATATATTGGAGCCCATTATTACGTTTTTAGATGAATAGAAATATAATTGGGTTTAGTCTGCTTTTGCGAACGATCGGAAATTAATCCAGAAAGTTGATTAATGACTATCAGTGATAAATGGATTCGTTCGCTTCCTAAAACCTTGGAAATTAAGACCTGAACTGATTCCTAAATGGAAAGTAAATTAGTTAGAATATTCTTATTAATATGTAGAAATTAGAATAGGAAGTCGACTGATTATTAAATACGTATGCCAAGTTTCGTCTGTTTTTTTTCTATTATTTGAAGAAAAAGAAACAGAAAACGTTAATATTGGAAGCAAAAATAAAATCATTTGCTTTAGAAAATTAAGAATATTTTTATAAACGAGAACATAATTTCTACTGACCAATTATAAATATTTGAAAATTAAACTAAAAGCACATGACAATCAAAACACAAACATAATAACTAAAAAAAAGGAAATTAATTGCTAATTTAATTATTAAATAAGTTAACTACAAATTATATAAATATAATCGCCAGTTCATGAAAGCATTTTAATTATTCTGGAAATATATCACAGATTTAAAGCATAAATTATTAATAATACAAAAATAACATAATATTATAAAATTAAATAAAGTTAAACGTAATAAAATCGACAATTTATGAACGTTTGCATATTAAGCTTGACACTAATCAGACTAATTCACAAGCATTCAGGAGGCTTGTGACCCATGTTTAATGACGATGATGATGATGATAATGACATGATGGAGACAATGATGATGACGTGATGACCTACCTGGGATGTTGATGATGATGAGATGATGACACGAGAGATATTGAAGAGACATATTAATCAGGTGAGATAATTATAGGATGTTCTTGCCCAGGTGAGGTTTACATGGTAACGTCTCTCTCTCTCTCTCTCTCTCTCTCTCTCTCTCTCTCTCTCTCTCTCTCTCTCTCTCTCTCTCAAACACGGGTATACAGTATCACCCCCTCCCCTCTCCCCTAAATCACCCCTTCCCCCTACCCACTACATAACCCCTTCCCTCCACCCATTTCATAACCCCTTCCCTCCACCCACTACTTCACCCCTCTCCCCCCACCCACTACATCACCCCCTTCCCCCCATCACCCCCTTCCCTTAGGTCACAGCTGTTGGTGAATTTTCCATTAAGCAATACGTTATGGACCGACGGCGATAGTTTTAGTTTAATTACGAATATTTTTGTTTGCCTTAAAATGAAACTGACGTGTTTGTCAAATCGAGATGACTTTGTATTTCTATGGTTAAAACTTAATGTAAATTGATTCGTATATGGTAGAATTTGCTGTTTTTTCTTAAAGACGTAGCTTACCATTATAAGTAAGATAACCGAAGTATACAATAAGTAGGTTAGGTTAGGTTAGGTTAGGTTAGGTTAGGTTAGGTTCGGTTCGGTTAGGTTTTCCATGAAAGTATTCAGTCGTATGTAGCATGAAAAATGGGGACGGAATATATCCCTAAGTTGTTGAAAAAAAAATGTGATCTTAGTCGATAACACAAGTGATGAGAAGAGAGAAACCGAACACTGATGAAACAGGCAGAGGTCGGAACACAGATAGGGTGTTATGAACGAGGGCGACGCATCTCTTGGCATTATGAGTAGTGTTGATTGTGATCTAGTTGTCAAATCCAATCCATAAAACAAAAGAAAATTGTATAAAGAAGTTCAATTAATACATAACCGAGTATCACGTTTTCTGAGTGATAGTTTAGTCTTAATAAGTAACAGATTATACACGTTTAGATATTGTGTAGCTACCACGATATATAAAGTGACTCAGAAAGGTGTCCCTGTCTGGTTGCTCCCTACCTCCCTCCCTCCCTACCTCCCTCCCTCCCTGCCTCCCTGCCTCCCTGCTCCCTGCCTCCCTCCCTCCCTGCCTGCTCACCGAGACACTGTGAGTTGGAGAGAGGCAGGGAGGGAGGGAGGGAAATTTTTCTGGGTCACCCTATATGTGGTTACGGAACTGCAAAGTTATTTTACAAGGAAGGTTCACTGACCCTCTTGTAAACCATAACTTCCAAGTCCCACCCGAGGAAAGATTCACTCAAACGTTTGGGACAGAAATAAACCTGGACAAATTTTAAGGTGTAGGGAGATACTCACAGACTTGTCGTTGAGGTGGAGGACAACACAAGGCAGCTTGGCCGTCTCTCCCTCCTTTACCGTCACCGTCGACTCTGCTGCCCCGAACTCCGGCCGTTGACCCCACCAGCCGTCCGTCATCCCCACACCTACAACACAGTGAGACAGTGAACGGGAGGAGAGTGAATGAGAGACAATGGATGGAGAGAGAGAGAGAGAGAGAGAGAGAGATTCATCTAGGGAATAGTGTAAAAGAGAGATTGTGAAAGATTGAGATGGGGGGGAAGAAATAATATTTTCAGAATGATATTCAATCACGTCCGCGCCAAGGAGATAGAATGTGATAAAACTATCTTTAAAATTATTTCCAAAGATCCATCCATCACCCTCGCACCTGCGGAGCAGAGAGAGAGAGAGAGAGAGAGAGAGAGAGAGAGAGAGAGAGAGAGAGAGAGAGAGAGAGAGTTCATCTGTGACGCTAACACAGCAGCAGTATATGTGTGTGTGTGTGTGTGTGTGTGTGTGTGTGCACGGGCGCTCATAGTTTCATATCATTAAACTTCATATAGGGGTGAAACATACCATTATTACACTAATAACATACAGAATATTTAGTACATACTCCAGATATCACTTTAAAGAAAACAGTATTCCTGTATCACTGTACAAGACTACAGATGTACATATTCAAATACCAATATCCAGAGTGTGAGTCGTATTAATGCTTTCAACCGGGGTTTAATGCCACTGAAAAATCGGCTCCACGAGAGATCACACCCAAGAGGGCTACCAGGCACGAACAAGATGTAACCATAACACGGATGGATAAATTTGGTACCTTTCCATAACAGACAATGTTCTTAAAAGCTCTCTCTCTCTCTCTCTCTCTCTCTCTCTCTCTCTCTCTCTGGGTATATCGAATGATCATTTGTGGGTCGAATGAGTCAAAAGTTCCTAATATTACCCAGGTTAACCTATTCATTAGAACAGCAGTCAATTAGGCCAGGTGTCCATTAAGACTGTGGCCAGGTAGGGATAGCGCTCTATAAGGACTGAGCGCCAATCGTTATCCCAATATTTGGTATATGTTATGATTGAGCCTTTTTTGGCCAGGTACGCTTATTAAGAATGGTATTTATTCACCCAATCAGTACTTGTTCACACCTTGGGGATGTGTGCTACTTACATTGATACACCATGACTCTAAGGCCGTCAGTTGAAGCTTTGTGTTTCAATTTCGCTCAATTTCAGTAACATTTGCTTATGTAAGGTCAGAAAATACAGTTCTTATAGCTGTTTATACACTGTGAGGCCCAGCATAAGAACAGCCCGGTGAGATGATGACAGTTATATCCAAAGAGACTGATTAAGCTTTCAACCATTTTTTTATCCATATTAAATCACTTCTTTTCCTTATTAATATATTATCTTTATGGCGGCTATTTTGGATAATTTAGCGAGCAGATTTTCCAATGATAGAAAAACGTGTACTGTGTAAGACATAAAAGTTGAAATCGGTTATGTTTTTTTTAGTTGAGAAAATAAAACTTAACTTCCATATGTCTGGTATGATCGGTCTCAAAACTACAGAAGGCCAAATTCAGCCAAAGATATATAACAAAAACACTGGCTATCTTGCGGAGCTTTATATTATATCAAAAATTCCTAAACGTACTCAGAAATTACTCACAAAAGGTCTTCATTCAGGATCTAAATACGACACTTAAGCAGCTACAGTTACTCCTTCAGGTTATGGAGGTATTTGTATGCTCAGAGACGTGAATAAATCTACCTCTTCATCAGTTACCACCACTAGGAGACCACTACACTACACTACACTACACTACACTACACTACACTACACTACACTACACTACACTACACTACACTACACTACACTATATATATAAGTACCTTTCATTTACAACATCCTTCGTAAAATCTCACAAAAAGTATAAAAAAAAAAAGATCGGGACTTTGAATACAGAAATGTGTTTACTGAAACCAACTTAAGCTCAATATTTAAAGTTCTCAACACACTCGTCTTTATACTTTACGAAAAAGTTTATTTAAATTATTTAAGAGAATTTGAATTAGAATTAAGAACGCTGAGCTGGCTATTGTGTTGCCCGAATTATGTTTTTTCCTTGTAGTCTTTATATAATTAATCTCCTTTATATTTCCACCAAGTATTTTCAGGGTTTTTATAGTGTGTGTGTGTGTGTGTGTGTGTGTGTGTGTGTGTGTGTGTGTGTCTGTGTGTGTGTGTGTCTGTGTGTGTGGGTGTGTTTGCGTGCGCGCGCGTGCGTGTGTAAATGTATGTCCATGTGTGTGTATATCAAGTCATGTATGGTAAAAGAGTAACAATATACAGGGTGATTCAACAAAGAGTACATTAAATTGGATGGTGAAATCCTTGGATAATTTTAAACCATAGAGAAATTGTGGTTTAGAATTATCCAAGGATTTCTCCTCCAATTTAATGTACTCTTTCCACGTGAGCATCAAGGACGATTCAAGTACCCATAACCAAGCCATGTTATTCCCTGAGTGACCGAAAACTTAAGAGCGTCTTAGGTGACCAATGAGCCATGACTTAGAAAAACTGTTTACACTCAGCGAAATCGTACCCCGACGCATCTAATGTTGAAATCGGGATAAAACTTAATAATCTGGGGAGTGATAGACCATTTATAAGGTAATAACCCCAGTATCTTTTGATGCCTGATTGCGTTTGATTTGATTTCTCTCTCTCTCTCTCTCTCTCTCTCTCTCTCGTGTCACCAGTTCCCTCATCATCAACCCTGTGTCAGAGTCGCCCGGGAGCACTAGTGATCTGGGTGGTAATCGTCATCCACCTCTTTTACGGACCTTCAACAGCACTCTTTATCACCCCACACCTCCATCCTCCCTCACCCCCCATCACCCCCATCTCCTCACCCCAACCATCCATCCAACCATCCTACTTACCTTCACTTCTGCTTCATCTCCCTCACTCTCTCTCTCTCTCTCTCTCTCTCTCTCTCTCTCTCTTTTTCTTTTAGCTGTGGTTTATTTTATTACCTTCTTTCACCACCAGTTTTATTGTTGTGGTTCCTTTACTAGGCGATGGTTTTACTGTGTTAATTATTCCATTATGGTTGAATGTTCTCTCCTATTGTTAGCGTTGCTGATTATTGGCTTCATTCTGCTAATGTTGTTTGGCTTCATTAGAAAACGCTCCTAGCACCGTTAATGACCTTATCTTGCGCCGTGAAGGATCAGTTTTAGTACCATTAGCAGACTTACCACCATTAACAGTCCTACCACCATTAAAACCTATCACCATTAACAGCAGATAGTTACACGATCCTATAACTGTTATAAGTAAGATGCTACCAGATACTTCTGATTAAGATTGGATCTTTAAGAACATTTGTACGCCAACAACAACAACTATAACAGAGGCAACAATAAAACACACACACGCGTAAACACACACACACACACACACACACACACACACACACACACACACACACACCACGATTCCTCGTCACAGGCAAACTGTCCAGACAATTTGTAATCATTATCATAAAACTAAAAAACAAAAATTACTTTTTTTGGGTGTTTCCCGCCTGGTCTGTGTTGAGGAATTCAATGTGTTGATGTTCTGTTTGATATGTGTGAGTGGACAACTGTGCCGTCTGCAATATGAAGAACTCTACCCCCTCCCCCCAGGTCAGTCAGCCGATCACTGGCATGCTGAGAATATCACTGTTCCCTCCACCGCGCGCTATGATAATTATTCAGGGTTTTCTGAATTGTCTTCACACTGGTCGGTGTCTGTGTGTGTTGTTGTGACGTGATAACATCAACGATAAATTACCCGTCAGAGATGAATGGTTTCATTTGCAAATCGGTGAAATAAATATCACATTAACAACAATATAATTTTATGCTAAAGGAACACTCAGATGGACTATCAACAAGAGGTATATACAATAGATAGATTAAACCTACCTAACATATATTCATATTGTATAGCTTATAACCAGCTTTGTTCCGTCACTAGTAATGTGTTAGTATCATGACTCATGCTTATCTCATGAACAGTATTTCTTGTAAGATCAGAGACCCTTCAGTTATGTGTAGCGTCTGTGTCGGAAGTGCATTAATGTGCATTTGTGTCATGATAGCTTAAGTAGCTATAACATTGCTAATAGAGTTCATATTCCCCCCAGCACAGAGAGATCTATAATCTATCTCTCATTTTTGTATTTTTACTAGTGTATTAGTAACCTTATTACATGCCTAAAGACCTTAATTGTTGAAGTGTGGTAATAACATTATAACAACAAACACTATTGGCCTATTGCAGTATAGTTCCTAGAATTCTTAATTTGATGCATAATCAAAACTTCATGTATTTTGAATTATAGATTGTAAATTATTAAAAAAATTATTTTCTCATTAAATATTGTTAAGATTTTTCTGAAATCTGAATGGTAACCTTACGTTTATAGATGCTGAGTCTTCTTGCTGTGTCACCAACCCTCGTATGTCACCCTCTGCCATCTGTTTCCTCGTGCCTAACATAATAAAACCTAACCTAACCTAAACTAAATTTGAATAGTCTGATAAAAGAAGTAAAATAAAAAAAATATCACAATAAGATTTATCCACGGTAAAATTCATCTCTCCAAGACCCGGGGTAAAGATCGAGCTGCCATTGACTGAGACTAACTCATTTTTCATTGCGAGGGACCGGACAGGAAGTCGTGTTCAGGAGTAACAGCACCACAGTATACAGCAAGCTCAGGTCTTAGTTTAATGATGTTAACCGAATCCTTCAAAAGCCTCCTTGTATTATTTGTCGTAATAAATATGTGATCGCGAACCTAACTCAGACAACATGTTATCTCGTAAAAGCTGCATTCTTTGTTGGGGAAAATAGTGTTATTATTCAAAATGACAGCTCCAGTTCGCCAGGTACACAATAGAGCATCAAGTCCACAGCCAACAAGGTCCAACATTCAGTATAAATGTTGTTTACTCTATCACGTATTGCGTTGATCTCCGCCACTCCTCCAGCTGAGCAACACTGCCTCGCGGTCTTCATCCTCGGCTGTATCAAAGACGTCTAACAGGTCAACAAACAATTCTATTT